ATGTTTGTTTTTATACAGATATATAGATATTTTTTACATGAAGCAAGTGATGAATAAGCAAATTAAAAATGACACAATTGTTATTGAATTTATTTTTATTTCCAAAAACCTTGCAGCCGAATAAATGGCACAAAGGCTAAGAATGAGTTAAAAAAAAGTGCAACATGAGAAAATACTGAAAATAAAGAAACATAAACGATAGGTGCAAATCCAATTCATTTTAGTTTGTTAAACAATTACAAAGACCCTTGTTGTCCTCACTGAGCAGAAACAACATGTCCACACCAATTTAGATAAAAGCAAAAATGATCTCAATAAGAGAAAAAACAGGGAGCATTCACCATGCATCAATCAAAATAACACATGTTTGATCATAAGAAAACAGATAAGGACTCGCAGGCATCCATATTATATTACAATACTTAGTCAGATCACTATGGAGCCAATATAAAGATTGTTTGCCAAAATAGTTTCATACACCGTGGTGGTGCGCGACCCATTCCGGCCTCACCCACGACCACGTCTCTGGGGGTGCTGGGTGTGACGCAACGGCTTAAGTAACAGTGTTTGTCACAGACCATCGACACGAAACACTGCAGAAGATCAAACGCTGCTCTGGCAGCCGTACAGACATGTTAGGCAACAGTTCCATTGCTTATGCGACCCTAAACCCTTGCCAGCAATTTCCTGAAAACATCACTTCTGTTTCCAAAACATTATTGCCTTATTCTCATAGGATAGGAGGTCATTTCTGCAGTATTTGCAAGGCGGAGGATACATTCAGAGATTTCCATTAGCTAAGGATGCCATTAGATTACGACACAAACTGTTCCACCTAACTATGCAGTTCTGTTTGCCTTGTCCACATGTTCCACCTATAAAACACGATTTTCCCTGCTAAAGTCAAATGTAGTAAGGAATCTATAAGCACTTTTTGATTATGTATACTGATTTGACTTACTCCATGTACAAGAAACGTAAAGCTGTGATTTATTGATAGATTAAAAGGTTGGTTTATTCAAAAATGAAAACTCATCTGCATGTCAATCCAAACTCATATGATTCACTTTCTTCTGAGGAACGCATAAGGAGAAGTTTAGTAGAATGTCCATGCTGCTCTTTTCCATACAGTAAAGGCCAATTTATACTTCTGCATCGAGGGTACGCCGTAGTGTACGGCGTTGGCTACGCACGTAGGCGACGCCTTTGTGAGCATTTATACTTCTGCGTTCAGGTCTTGGTGCTCTGCAGTACTGCTCCGAAACGCTAGTTGGCGGCGGAGTGTTTTACTGTTCCACTGTTTAGATTACTCGAGTTGCGGCTAAGTTACTACAAGCCTGAAAGAGAGCGGATCATGTTGGAGTTGGAGCTTATTGAGGTGGAAAAACAGTTAATTTTAGTGAAATTACTAAAACTGAAAGGCAGAAATGAGAGAAGACGTCGGAGGAGATGGTACGTGTAGAAATGCGTGAGAAGGTACGTGCGGAAATGTGTAGGAGGAAATGCGATGCTACCAAGCCGACCAATCACCGATCTTGCGGTCCGCGTCGTCGCGACGTGTAGTTACATTTTTGAGGAGGTGCGCGTCAGGCTACGGCGAAGGGTACGCGGTATGGGACGCGTCTCTGCGTATGCTATGCCGTACCTACTGCGCGCACCCTACGCAGAAGTATAAATTGGCCTTAACAGCGAATGGGGACTGAATGACACCCAAATAACAGATACACAATAACAGAAGAACATATGACTTGAGCACTATATAAGTCTTTAGCTTGGGGGTTCGAGCACACACGGGAAAATATACCTCGTCCACCAAATCGATTGAGATTGGTGGATCTCACATCTGACTTTTTTCACTGACAGGTCATAATACACACCATTCAACAGTTAACATAACAGCATAACACCCTGGCACAAAAGTTTGTGCTTTCTGTTTTTTTTTCCATGATAATAAATATCATTTTAAGTAATTAACTCCAAGATTATCAGGTATATCAGCAAGAGAGCGGCCTGTGACAACACTCATGGAAAGAATTTGTGGTTTTGTTTGGTTGGTTTAAAGTATTGAGACACAAATAACTTTTGTGTAACGAATTCATCAAGCGGCCTATTCTTGAAAAACTAACACCAAGTATAATTGAGTATTAAACAATGAGCATGTTCAATTTTTAAGGGAAATTTGTTGCGTATGAGCATGTTAAATTTTTAAGGGTAATTTGTTACGTATGTGTGTGTCACCTTACTTAGCCCAGTTATCATTTGCTCATGGAAACAGAGGTGAATTGAGATGTGTTTATATATGGTTGTTAATGTATTTGCACTTGGGGTTACAGAGCGTGGACACCCACCGGTAGAAACATAAATTGGCGCCTGTGTTTTAGCCATATGACAGTTTTGTGTCAGCAAGGGGTCCATTCACAGGGAATGTGTTTGTGTATTCCTCTGTTACTTTTCCAGTGTTCTTCTATGTAAACATGTGCAACCTACATTGATGTCTTTTGTCATTGAGCTCACATCTTGTGTCTTTTACACATGACACTGCGTTCGAAAAATGCAGAACTGAAGTTAAAAGAAAAAAGAGGTTATGGTTGGTGGACGCTGCATTTGTCGTAATTGATTGTGAAACCGATTTGAATATGGAGACGTGTGAAAGATTTGAGAGCAGAGGTGGAGGGAATAATTTCAGTGTATAACCTACATTTCGGTCTTTTCAGAAGACTTGCAATATAGCTGAGCTTTTTGAGTGCTGAGTATTTTGTTATTTTTTTGGATCTCCAGCTTCTGTCCCCATTGACGTTTATTGTATGGAAACAAGCACATGGGACATTCAGATAAATTTCACCTTGTATGCTATATAGAAGAAAGAAAGTCAAAAAGTGACTAGGCCTAAATAAATGACACACTTTTCACTTTTGGGTGAACTATTCCTTTAAAAGACTGACATGGATCCATGCAGAAGAATCTCGAGAAAATCCTCTTACTATCAAGACAAAGAATAGTGCTTTTCAGAATGAAACTTGAGCGACCGTGTTTTTTTTCTGCTATCCAGCTGTGTTGTTTTTCAGATATTTCTTGGTCTTACATGTCACCCTCTCAGACCTTGTCTTTGATTTTTCAAAGTACAAATTACTTGAAAACTTCAATAAACCAGACAGCCTACTTTTTATGATTAGTAAACAAATTCCTGTTTGAAACCCAGTAAATATGCAATCTCGGCCAGTGGTTCTCAGCTGGTTTTGCTTCGGGAGTCCATGTTTTAATTGGTGACTCAATGCAGAACCATGAAATGTATTATGCAAAAGATTGATCATATAAAGATAAACATTCCAATATTAATGAATCTATTAATTGGTTTCCATCATGATCCATTTTTGGGTTGCAACCAACCAGATAAGAACCACTGATCAAGGCCAGGAGACCATGCTGTGTTGAACATTTTAAACATAGTAAGCTGCAGTACAAACATAAACCCAAGGTGCTGATTCAGTCGAACTAGATGATTTAGAAAGGGTATGGACCCACTATAATAGTGAGTCTCAGCAGTGAGCTGGAACGGTAGCTCAAGGCATTACTCTGGGTGACCATCTCCAGATCCACAACATGTTCTCGAGGTCCAGTCAACGGTTTGGTCATTACCAACATGGCACTTACGTTACTAGAGCGCTGAAAGACAAAGAGAAATACAATCACTAGAGAGATTACACCACAAGCAAAGTGACCCATTTTATTTTGAATGTAACTGTGGGGGATTTATATTGTTCTTGACAAAAAATGCGGAGTGGTGGAGTGCTAGATTTTGCACTGATCTTCAACCCTGTAACATTCAACCACACAACATTTAAAAGTGAGGTAAGTATCTCTTACAGTCTCCATCATTTTTTTTTAATGTAATGTCATCAACCCCAAATATTGTTTGACTCTGTTATGGGAAAATAACAGTGATCGTTTTTTACAGAAAACAATTCTTGGCAAAAAGCAAAAGAATACTGACAAAATAATCAGAAGTTTTGCAGTGCTAGAATAGGTCGTTATTGGACCTTTCTGCACTGATCTTCAATCCCCCAAAACATTTGAAATGTAACAGGGTTGGCACTAAACTGGGTTTGGAAGTGAAATATCATGGGATCAAAGTGAGGTAAGTATCTCTAACAGTCTTCATCAATGTTTTGTTTTTTAAAAAAATATTGTTTATAGTTATGCTGTCAACCCCATTTGTTCAACACTGTAATGGAAAAATAACTGATCTTTTTTTTTTTTTTTTTACAGAAACAAATTCTCAGCAAAAAGAGCAAGAATATTGACTGTGCTGTGCATTGTTAGCCATTATTAGACCTTTTTGCACTGATCTTCAACCCTGTAACAATCAACCTGAAAGTATTTTAAATTTAGCTGGGTTGGCGCTGAACCTGTTTTGGAAAATCAATGTCATGGGTTCAAACAGAGGGAAGTATCTCTTACAGTCTTTATATGCTTTCGTTTTGTTTACAGTAATATATCAAGCTCAATATTTCAACTCTGTTATGTAAAATAATAATGATTAGTTGTTGTTTTTTTTACAGGAAAAAGGCCATTAATCGACCTTTTTGGACTGGTCTTCAACCCTGTAACATTCAAACCAAAAAAAAAAAATTATAAATTTTTTTTTTTTACAAGTTTGGTGCTAAACCAAAGTTTCGGAAAAGAGTTTTGGGTCAAACTGGTAAGTATCTCTTAACAGTCTCTTCAAGTTTTTTTTTATTATGTTTAGAGTTATATTGTCAAGCTCAATTGTTCAACTCTGTTATGCAAAATAATAGAGAGAGTCTTTTACAGAAAAAAACGCACTGCACTTTTGCATGATCTTCAACCATGTATGTTCAACCTCAAAAAGAAGTCAAATGTAACAGGGTTGACTTAAGACCTGTTTTGGCTGAGAAATTCCATGAATTTAAATAGAAAGCTATCTTTTTTTGAAAATATGAAAGGCTGTAATCACTGATTTAGGATTGGGGTAACTGTTTAAAAATCTTCCACTGAAAAAATTGTCAAGTCTTACCCTCAGGTAGAACTCTCCTCCCTCATTGCCGGATTTGATCGTGAAAGTGTTTACCATATTGGGGTAGACACTGGTAGCTTGAATCTGGAAGATATCCGCAGGCACTGAGCGATCGGAAAAGATGCTCATGTACTTGTAGACAATGACAGGCGGCAGTCCCCGGCAAACATTTGGTGACTGGCACCGACAGCGACTGTTGGTAGAGAGTTAAATGGTTAAAAAAACATTATTGCAACAGCATGATTTTATTAGGACTTTTGACACACCCTTCGCCTGTTTTCACGTATGGCTCACGGCAGGGGTTTCTGGGATAGCAACGGAATCCTCCGTAGTAATTCCAACACATTTCATCTTCTCTGCAGTTGTGTGACGTTTCACACTCATTTATATCTATTAACAGGGTGGAAAAGGTCAATGAACAACTTCAGAAACCACTTCAGGAGCCCTGAACTAAACAAACTGGAATTTACCTTGGCACATCCGCGTCCCTTGGAGCTGGTATCCATCAGGACACACACAACTGTATCCCCCAGGTTGATTCACACATTGGAACTGGCACATGTAGTTTGAGAATTCGCACTCATCAATGTCTGAAAAACACAAATATATTGCTCATTACAGCGTAACATTCCTGGATGTCTTCAGCTGAATGCCTCTGGACCACATCTCGATAAAAATTACATTTTGTTTTTACAACACTACACTATCATATGACAACCAGAAAGTGTCTACATACTTTTTTTGTCTTGATTTGAAATAATATATGGATAGTTTTATCATTTTTAACTTTAAAGGGTTAGTTCACCCAAAAATGAAAATTCTGTCAGTATTTACTCCCCCTTATGTTGTTCCAAACCTCTATGTGTTTATTTGTTCTGCTGAACACAAAGGAAGATATTTGGAAGAATGTTTTAATCAAACAGATCTCAATCCCCATCGACTACCATAGTATTTATTTTTTCCTACTATGGTAGTCAATGGGGAATGAGATCTGTTTGATAAAAACATTCTTCCAAATATCTTCCTTTGTGTATAGCAGAACAAATAAACACATAGAGGACAACATGTGGGTGAGTAAATACTGACAGAATTTTCATTTTTGGGTGAACTAACCCTTTAAGGCCCGTTCTCACCAGGGATGATAACTATAACTATAAAGTTAAATCACTTTAAGAAGAATTGTTTTTCTTCAGCTGATGAGGAATAAAATCATTGACAGCCAATCAGAATCCACACAACTTTACGGATCTTAAGCATTTAAGACGAAACTGCAGTGCACATGGTTTCATATTTTTCCATCAATGTGTTTATATATTATATTTCAGTGCCAAGAAAGTTGTTATATCAACAATATATAAGACAATTTTAAATACCCTGTCATAACTTAATCTCATTTAAATTGGCTATTTCACACATGACATTATATACCCACAAATTTGCATATGCAATATCATAAGGATAACATGCTCTTAAGCTAATGTATCCTTCTAAGTTAATAGTCATAAAAAACCTACAATGAATTTTGTGTTCTCCATTTTTGATAGCGTAATACCTATATTTCTTTTTTAATTATAAATGTATAATCAATCACATAATACTCAATTGTCCAATAGTCATTAAAATCATTAGAAATGATACACTATATAATGGACGTTTGTAAGCATATTACTGTGAATACTCATTTGTTTGCATACACTTAGGGAAGAAAATTATTGTCTTTGTTACTAGGTTAAAAAATATCCAGGAATATTTGAACAAACTAGCATGCAATTAAAACAAAAAATAAGCGCAAAAATAAATAACCTTGGCAGGAGACGGAGTCTGAAGCCAGTTCATATCCGACTTCACATTGGCAGAGGTAAGAACCAATCAGATTGTAGCACTGATGTTGGCAGGGGTTTGAAGTGAGACATTCATTCACATCTGTAAAAAGAAAAAAAGTTGGAACGCAATTGAACATTGTGGTGAGACAAATGATAAAATCAAAAATGCAAGTGCATGAGTAATAAACAAAACAACTACTGGCCTGTTAATGCAATTCACTGCCCATTTAATTCAGTTCCTCAAATATAACACTAATAACACCACTTATTTAAAACAACAGGTAGCAAAATCCAAAACACACATCTTTTCTGCACTGCTAATCATTCTTTGGTATGTCTGGCGAGATTTCCAGCTTAGTTCTGGAGCGCAGAAAGTGTCCTTTCACAGTGTGGGGGCCATCATGGGTGGTCTGCGCTTATCTGCCAGGTTTGGTCAAGGAACTATATACAAAGGCCCAAGAATAGCCCAGTTTTCTGTGATTCATATACAGGCTATTGGATGTGCAACACATGTGAGTGCAAATCCTCCTTATCCAAACGAAAGGACATTCAGGCAGATTCCTCCCAGTGATCTATTTGAAGCATTAATGTGAGAATAATGTCAACGCACAGATCCGAAGCCTCCCGGGGGGCCTCTCATCGACTGTTTCCAGAGCTTTTGCTGACCAGCGTTTGGGCCCTTTCAGGGGGTTCAGCACTGCTGATAGCCAAACTGGCCGATGCACGCTGGAAAAAATGAGGTGCAAGACCTCGCAGGAGAGAGTTCAGACAAGCTTGCAGTTTTCTCGCCCACCTTTCTGAGAGAGGCACACCTGGAGTCTGTGATCACCCACATGATGAGATTTAATTCCAACAAACTGGTGTCAGATTCCAGGAATCACTGCCAAGGCACTTCTGAAAGAGACTGGCCGAAAATATGTAAACATCGAAGCAAGGCCGACTCTCTTTGCGGGAAGAGGCCCGAGCTAATTGTTGACTCATTTTAATGGGCTGAGAGATGCATGTCCTGACCCATACTTCCTCAAACAACACCACATAACCCGTCAGCTGTTTGATTACAGAAAGAACCAGTTCTAATACAATGGTTGGCGCACTAGCCTTGGAGACAAATTTGTGTTTAAAGGTACCAGCTTAGTTATTACTTCTGATAAAAAAAACTTCTCAACTTCAAAGATTAGTTTGTAAGGTTAGTGTCATTATATATATTTCTCACATTATTCAGGTTATACAATGTCATGCGATTTTGGTCCCCAAAAATATAAATATAAAATAAATAAAAATGTTCTTGTGTGAAAATAATGATGACGATGTGTACCCTCAAATGAATTCAAGGTATAAGAAAAATTTTCTGATGTCACCACATGACATTTAAATATAAACTTTTCTTGAAACTAGTACAAGCTGCACCAGCAATGTTTTGCTCTAAACAGTATGATCAACCAGCAAAACCAATGCTAACCAGTATAAGCCAACTCTGACCAGATGCTGATTTCTCCTCAGTAGGAGTGGGATTAGCTATCAAGAAACAGCAAATGGAATCCGTGCAAATGACTGTTCATATATCTAATAAAATGATTTAAGATTGGGAAACAAATGTAATACTCTTTTGGGATGAAATGTTAGTTGGCATGTCTTTACAATTCATGTCTTTCAGTCTCATCTTGAATGGTTTATGCAACCTAAATTGTTTGCTTCTAGCACAGGGATTCTGCATGCTGTAACACGACTGAGCCATCTATCAAGTTGTGAAAGCAAAACATCATTAGCACACACACAAAAATTGTTTTATCCACCAGATAGAAGAAGACAGACCCAGAGGAAGCAGATTTCTGGCACTGCACCCTTTGAACAGATACAACAACATCCCAAAGAGTGATACAATGACTTCCCAAGGGGTCAGTGTTTGGCTCGTTAGCATGGTCTGGTTAGCCCTGCTGATAGGTGTCGTAACTACATATTCTGCCCATGAAGATCATATTCTGTCATTAAATTAGCCATGTATACTAACTTAATATTTTACAACATTTATATCCATAATATTTTAAGTGCTGCAAACGTATTAGTAATAAACTAATAAGCTACTTTATATTTCGCTAATAACTTTGGAATTGTGTGGGACAGAATACTTTTTGTCTCAATTTTAGAAATTAAAACCTATTTTTTCAAACACATCCTATGCCACAGAATTTGGAGTGTATCATCTAATAGACAAAAGTATATTTAGCATGAGTAAAACACAAAGTATATCTAATTCATACACTTTTAACTCCTTCTTGCAGACGTTGTGTGATGCAATTTTCATAACCAGCCTCAATTTTTCCATCTGCACCATGTTGCCACTTTCATGTGACGTTTGCTGCCAGCTGTGGCACTTCCCTTCCATTCACAACTTCTATATAGTAATGGAAGTACATGGTTTCGAACAGATCAACAGCCAATCAAATTTAAGCAGACATTTGAAATTGCAAGTAAAATTTGAATTTGTTTATTGTGAAATTTGGTGTACATGTGCAGGGTGTCCACAAGAAGCAATGTACCAAATTGTGTGAGAATTGGACAAAGGGTGCCAAAGTATTACATTTTCGAAATATTTTTGGGGGAATTTTATATAATTTAAGGAATCCTACCTTTTTTCCAAATGCATACACACTTAAAAATAAAGGTTCCAAAAGAGGTTTTCACAGCAATGCCAGAGAAGAACCATTTTTGTCTTCACATGGAGAACATTCTAATAATCAAAGAACCTTTTTCCACATAAAGAACCTTTTGTGGAATGGGGAGTTCCATGGAAGTTAAAGGTTCTAGATTAAACCAATGAAGAGCAAGTGTATACGTGTTTTGCCCACTATAGTACAATGTCCCGACCTAAAAAAAATTGGGTGCACAAACACCAGGACAACATTATGAAATTTAACACCAAACTATTTTACACACACCATTCTCAGAGATCTTTAAACTCCAAAGCCACAACAAATACTGCAAATAAACCAAGTAGAAGATTCTGGAGAGAGTCGCACAGCTATTACTCACCTCTGCAGTAGTTCTGAGAGTCTGGCATGAAACCGACACCACACTGGATTGTATGTGTTGCGCTTTGAATGACTCTGGTGTAATCGCCCCTGTAATTGGGGGCTATCCCGGGCTGAACATCTCCTCTTTCCACTGGTGGGGCAGTAGTGGGCTCATCCTCGCCGTTACTGACAATTATCTGAGCGTTGTGGGGTAAGCAGAGATATCCACCAAAATGGTTGACGCATTTCATGCCCCCTTTGCAGGCGTCCTGCACTGTCTTGCATTCATCTATATCTATGTGTAGAAAGACACATGATTAACGTGATTAGATATGCATTGTACAATGCTTGTAACTAGTAAGACAACTGATTGAGGGGGAAAGAGTTGTGTTACCTTTACAGATTTGTTTTTCAAAGTCAAATTCATAACCTTCAGTGCACTGCAAAAGAAAAAAAATAATGTGTAAGAGGCAAATGCAAATGCAGCAAATTACAACTGATTCCAAAGACTGACAGCTGATTAAAAATTCACCTAAGACTATTTATTTCCACACATCTATCGGTAACACTTTACAATAAGGTTCATTAGTTAACATTAGTTAATGTATTTACTAACATGCACTAACCATGAGCAATACATTTGTTACGGCATTTGTTAATCTTTGTTAATGCTAGTTCATGAAAATACAGCTGTTCATTGTTTGTTCATGTTAGTTCACGGTGCATTAACTAATGTTAACAAGATTTTAATCAAGTATTAGTAAATGTTGATCTATCTATCTATCTATCTATCTATCTATCTACATCCATCCATCCATCCATCCATCCATCCATCTCTCCGCACAGCAGATTTGGGACATGTTTTATGACAGATGCACTTCTTGCCACAACCCAGCACTGATCTAAATTTTTGAAAATAAATCAAATTTTGATTTGGCCATTTTCGGATTTGGCCAATTCATTCCAACTGACTTGATTACATGTTGAACAAGTTCAACCGAATATGGAATAATTGTTATCATTGTTCTTGGTATGACTTAAAGAATCTATTATGTCCAGTTTCATTAAAATAAGCTAAAATGAATCAAAAGCACCTCCTTCCAAACACCTCCTTTGAGTGACGCGAATCTGCGGCGATTGGTCAAATGACCCAGTCAGTTGTTATTGGTAAATCGTAGGAACACCCATTACCATTAATGGATTATAGCTTGCCTTGTCAAGTGTTGAAAATTGTATATAGTGTTTGAACAAACGTGTCAGAAAAAGTGCACTTTCCACACGGTCCCTTACTCGCGTCTCCGTCAAGAGCGAGCTTTCCCGGCGAAACGCGCCGGCTTTTGAGGGGCAGTGCTTATTATATAGAGTGAAGTCATATTTGGCTAAGTCGTTTAGGAGGTAATTGCCATTTTTCAGTGAATGTCTGGTGAATCATCAAAAACAAAACTAACTTTACCCTGCTTAGAAGCTGCGCGGAGTGTACACAACACACACAACACAATATAACTATATTGTGCATGCTACAGAAAACATAACATTATTAATTTTATTAACAGATTGTGATTCGGAGGAGGACGAACCTGATCCATATACACTGGATACTGAGCCCTCCTTCAGGAACAACCGGCTTGCGAATCAACATTTGAATTCATTTATATTTTTGAATGATTCGTCATTAAAATGATGAGAACACAAGGTTCGGGCTATACTGTTGTGGTATCGTTGCAAATATGAACTCTAACCACCGATTTTTCACATGCTCGTCCCTGGTAAATGAAAACAAGTGGCTGAACTGTCTTTGCATTGTAGAACACAGCGTCTTCTCAACATGCCGTGATTCAGCTGAAGTATTTGAATATGTGTTCTAGACTTCAAGTTTACACTCCCGTCTGCGCGCGCAGTTGTCGGAGTGGCCAATGAGCTAATGTTTCATATCTACGTCACTACGAAACAGCTAATGACTCGTTTCAAAAACAATTCATTTCATAGACTCAGAGTCGACTCTCACTTTTGAAAGACAATAACTTTATATACGGTGCACTTTCAGATATAAATCTTTGCAGGATATTTTCATTCCCTTAGAGCTATAGTCCACACTAGATGAACAGTCATTTTCAAAAATCCATGATAGGGGCTCTTTAACGTTTCTTTTTTTTTCATTATAAATTTTGACCAGAAGGTGGCGATGTTCCAAAATGTACCTTCAGGGCATGGTGCCAATGACCCACACTGAGTTTCAAAATGATAAGGGAATGTGTTCATAAAATAAAGCATTTTGCAATAAAATTCAAAATGGCCGCCACCCAAAATGGTCAGCATTTTTCATATCTCCTGACCTAGTGCTGTGCCAAAACGCTGCATGTAGCCTCTGGTCATGCTTGTGAATACATGTACCAAGACTCGTCTCGATAAGCTAAAGCGTTGCAGAGATATGGCCTCACGTTAATTTTGACGTGCTCTTTGTCGAATTCGAAATGCTAAACACCATTATGATGACACACATGACACTCAAGTAATGCAATAAACATTAATTTGACAACATTAGACGTCACAAAAAAACCCTAATGTACATAACTGATACGAAAAAACTAAGAAGAAACAGTTATTTCAACAAAAAAAATACATCAAATGTGAAGTGTCACACAGGGAATTATGGGAATGCCAATTTATGGGGTTTCACTGTAAATTACACAATGACTTGTTCTTTTTCACTTCCAAAAACTGTAAATTTAACAGTATTTTACTATTACATTAATTTACCGTATATTGCAAGGAAACTTACTGTTATCAATCAACAGGCTTTTACCGTTAAAACCCTGATCATTTTTTGTAGCATATGACGGGTTCAAAAAAGTTGAGTTTTCGTTAAAAAATTTCAAATTGGAAAATTTTTCGTGATGGAAAATCGAATCGAATAATTTTGTGCCAAGGAATCAGAGGGAACGTTTTTTTTGTTTCTCACCCGAATTGTGCAAAAGTTATTGGCAATAACATATTTGAACAGTTGGTGGCGCTAGAGCGATTGACTTAGAGACACCAAATTCACCATGTTGACAGTTCAGACTGTCCTCTATCAGTGTGCCAAATTACCTACACACCTTCGCTGATAGGCCCTTGAAAACTAAGCAAACACGATGTGTTTTGGACTACTTGCCATGTATGTGACAGGTTCCTGAGCTTCGGCTTCCTGAGACACCGCAAGGTGGACGGCAACACTCAAACACAAGCAGATCCCGAGCATTGTGACCTGCAACACAGGGGAAAAAAACATGATCACATTTTCATAAATCGCCATCATGCGCCTTCAAACGCATCAGCACCGTTTCCACCGAAACCCCAATTACATTTCATCCGTGTTGCAAAGGTCACATTGTTTGGTTTGAATACAACTGCTGTTGACGCTGGCTCGGTCCTGCAGAAACTTGGCAGAGTCCTCCACAGAACAACAGTGTGCCCGTTCACCCACTTCATAAAAGTAATTATGCCATGGCACATTTTTTAAAAGTAACACATTGTCCTTGTGCAAACGACCATATCCGGCATATCCGAGACCGAGGCATCAGATCTCATTTCAACACTGTGGGAAAAGTTCTTGACAAATTCACTCTTGTAATATTGAATTTAATGGTTTTCCCCGAGGATGCGAATCTCTGAAGCTCGTTCTGAACCTCCCAGACTGTGTCAGAAAGAAACAGTTCAAATAAAACACAAGTAACAGTAAATCTACAGTACAAGGCGATTACAGCGATTTCAAAAGTAGTGCAACTGAAGGCATGTACCAACTAGTACTTAGACACCATATTTATCTGACAAAGCCCTCTAGCAACCTCCAGTTGAAATTGTTGTTTTCTCTTCAAGAAAACCTCCTATTCGTGTAATCATGCTTTCTTTTGTTTCCGTGAAGACCTGTGGAAGCTCATTCCCATTCAAAAGTACTAAGTATTTGTGTAATATAACAATATACTTCATTCTTTATGTGCACCTTAGAAAACAAAGTGCAGTTGTTTAATGTGAAACACTAAAAACTTGCAGTTAATTGTAGTTATATTGCAAACTGTTACTATAGTTATCATTCAAAATGATGTAAAAGTCAAGTCATAGAGGTTATAATGCAATGCAAAAACAATATACCTTAGGCAATAGGATTGTCCCCATCTTCCCAGCAGTCCTGTGTGTGTGTGTAGATAGAAGAGATGCTTACCGTTTGTGATTTATCCCACTGTAAGTTGAGGAGCACTGGAGTCTCTCACACACACGAGGTGCCTGCGATCATGTTCTTATAAGAGGCAGGTTTTTCTCACAAGCCTCTTCAAATTATGTTTTTTCTCACTGCTACATTCTTGTTGGAATATAATGGTAGCGAATGTGGCTCCACCTACTGCTAAACGCTCAGACCTACAGGAGGACATTTACAGTTGTACATGTAGCAGGGAAGAGGACAAGAGAATCAAGAAGTGATATGATGATAAGTTATTTAAATATATCAATTGATAATTAAAATAAAATAACTTTTGGTTGTTTAATTAAATTCCGTTTTCTCTAAGAACGTCTATAATTAATGTAAAATATAGTATGTTTATAAAAGAGGAAAGTCAATACCAATAATCAAGAATTATATTATGATCATTTATATTATACTTTGATAAAATGTATTCAATTAATATGATTTAATCTATAAAATAATTGTTGATTTGCATTTTCTTTTTTTTTTCAAAGAAAACTGTTTTTATTTTTTTTATTAAAATCTAAAATTAATTTAAAAAATAATCTGTTTATAAAGGGAAGAGAAAAGTCTCAACAATAGTCAAGAATTATATTATGAATCTAAATAGGTTAATAAATATCTATTAAATTAAATGTATAATTTAGTCTATAAATTAAAAGGGCTAGCTGTTTCTAAGAAAACTATGTATGTGTATATGTGTGTGTGTGTGTGTGTGTGTCTATATAATTATTTAAACATTACAGTTAAATAAAATGAATAAAAATACACATTTTTATTTTATTTTCATCATTTTATTTTTCATACCACCAATGTTTTAGAAATAAAATCCTTTAGCATACTGAAGTATGATACGCGATTTTGGGCCGAACCGCTCGCTTCAAATGATTAGTTTTACGATCTCTTTACGAACTTATTAGAGGGGGACAGAAACATGGACAGAAAGCTCTCAGATTTCATGAAACATATCTTATTTTGTGTTACGAAGAAGAACGAAGGTTTGACGGGGTTGGAACACTTTTCTTTTTTGGGCGAATTATCCCTTTAAATATCTCTGTAAATTTATAAAATATTGTTTATGCCGTTTCATAAAATGATTTGTTTTTTTTCCCTCATATTTTTCCCCGCCCATTTTTAAGACGTAGTACGGAGCCCCTCTAGTCCCACTTTGGTAAAAAAAAAAATAATTATAACTATCTTGTGGCCTCAAGATAGTAACTCGTGGCCTCAAGATACTAACTCGTGGCCTCAAGATACTAACTCGTGGCCACAAGATACTAACTCGTGGCCTCAAGATACTAACTCGTGGCCTCAAGATAGTAACTCGTGGCCTCAAGATAGTAACTCGTGGCCTCAAGATAGTAACTCGTGGCCACAAGATAGTAGCTCGTGGCCACAAGATAGTATGCGTGTGCACGGGTAAAACTCTTGAGGTGAAACTGCGCATGTGCGGGGTGCTAGGGTGAAACTGTGGCTCTTCGGCTCTGCAGACTAATAAGCAAAAATAATTGGTAACAATAACCATTAGATCATTTTAATACTGAACAATATGCGCGGGTAAAACTGCTATATTGAAACTGCGAATGCGCGGGTAGAACTGTTTTGGTGAAACTGCGCGGGGTAAAAGCGCTGTTGTAAACATAGACATCATTATAGGTAGACGCCCTATCGACTGCTACTGCCTATTGATAATAGTAGTACAGTAATGTCAAGACTTACTTGTGAAAAGCCCTATTTTCGGTGGTCCGGCGATTAGAACAGGAAATTGCTCCACAGTGCTCTGGCATCTCATCTGCTGCCACGCAACGAAACAGGAATACGACCGGTTCAAGATGGCGACCGGATTTCTCGGTATCCAGCGGCCAATAGGGTATCTAGTCTCTATATGATATCTATGGTTGTAAAACTGCTGGGGTGCGGTATTTCCGGTGAAGGTCAAAGGATGCTGATATTACGTGGCTATAATAAAGAAACGTTAGTCACAAAAACAGACAGACATCATTATATTAAATAAACATAACTATATATAAAATTACATAAACGTATTAAAGTTTAGTTTCAAAGACGGGAGCACAGTAAATTTGGAAGACTGCCATAATCTCGTTTCCTCGGTTTTCCTCCACTTTAAATCTCCCCGTAGAAGAGCATCCTTGCGTCAAATGCGGGACTTGTGCGTGCATATAGCCCATTGGGTAATACCGGGAAATACACAAATACAGCCAGACAGAGGTGACCTAAGCCTAGAACGCCCTCTGCTGACGCTATTTTGTAGGCTACATGGGCACATGCTTTTCTTACATTCAAATGGCTAACTTATAACCCAGGGGACAATTCTTGTGTCACAATTGTTGTACACATCAAGACATTTAAAGGAATATAAATAATAATAGAAGTGGTTAAATACACAAGTATGTATGTAATAAGTATAAATGAAAAGTTCAGATGCAAAAGCCTCTAAGTGCCATTTGAAATTTTCTTCTAGAATGATCATTTTATCAAGCTTGTATATTTAAGTTCAGTAATTTCAGTTAAATTGCAATGAGGATTACCTATTAATTGTCATTTAAGTGAAATTACTGAACTTGAATATATAAGCTTGATAAAAATGATAATTTTAGAAGAAAATTTCAAATGGCATTTAGAGGCTTTTGCATCTGAACTCTTCAAATATAGGCTATAAAATATGAAGAAGAATAATAAAGACCTATTGATATGCAGCCTACAAGATTTACAGTACTAGTAAATAAATAGAACCAGACCAGCAGCAAACTATATTGCACACTGAATATTAAAAACAAACAGACAATATTGCACAGAAAGTGAATTATTGCACTACAGCGTCCAAGTTTAATAACAAAGGGTCCATCAGTCAGACACTTTACTATCTTGAGGCCACGAGTTAGTATCTTGTGGCCACGAGTTACTATCTTGAGGCCACGAGTTAGTATCTTGAGGCCACGAGTTAGTATCTTGAGGCCACGAGTTACTATCTTGAGGCCACGAGTTAGTATCTTGTGGCCACGAGTTAGTATCTTGAGGCCACGAGTTAGTATCTTGAGGCCACGAGTTAGTATCTTGTGGCCACGAGTTAGTATCTTGAGGCCACGAGTTACTATCTTGTGGCCACGAGTTAGTATCTTGTGGCCACGAGTTACTATCTTGAGGCCACGAGTTAGTATCTTGAGGCCACGAGTTACTATCTTGAGGCCACGAGTTAGTATCTTGAGGCCACGAGTTAGTATCTTGTGGCCACGAGTTAGTATCTTGTGGCCACGAGTTAGTATCTTGAGGCCACGAGTTACTATCTTGAGGCCACGAGTTAGTATCTTGAGGCCACGAGTTACTATCTTGAGGCCACGAGTTAGTATCTTGTGGCCACGAGTTACTATCTTGTGGCCACGAGTTACTATCTTGAGGCCACGAGTTACTATCTTGAGGCCACGAGTTACTATCTTGAGGCCACGAGTTACTATCTTGAGGCCACGAGTTACTATCTTGAGGCCACGAGTTACTATCTTGAGGCCACGAGTTACTATCTTGAGGCCACGAGTTAGTATCTTGAGGCCACGAGTTACTATCTTGAGGCCACGAGTTACTATCTTGAGGCCACGAGTTAGTATCTTGAGGCCACGAGTTACTATCTTGAGGCCACGAGTTAGTATCTTGAGGCCACGAGTTACTATCTTGAGGCCACGAGTTAGTATCTTGAGGCCACGAGTTACTATCTTGAGGCCACGAGTTAGTATCTTGAGGCCACGAGTTAGTATCTTGAGGCCACGAGTTACTATCTTGAGGCCACGAGTTAGTATCTTGTGGCCACGAGTTACTATCTTGAGGCCACGAGTTAGTATCTTGTGGCCACGAGTTAGTATCTTGAGGCCACGAGTTACTATCTTGAGGCCACGAGTTACTATCTTGAGGCCACGAGTTACTATCTTGAGGCCACGAGTTACTATCTTGAGGCCACGAGTTACTATCTTGAGGCCACGAGTTAGTATCTTGAGGCCACGAGTTACTATCTTGAGGCCACGAGTTAGTATCTTGAGGCCACGAGTTACTATCTTGAGGCCACGAGTTAGTATCTTGAGGCCACGAGTTACTATCTTGAGGCCACGAGTTAGTATCTTGAGGCCACGAGTTACTATCTTGAGGCCACGAGTTAGTATCTTGAGGCCACGAGTTACTATCTTGAGGCCACGAGTTAGTATCTTGAGGCCACGAGTTACTATCTTGAGGCCACGAGTTAGTATCTTGAGGCCACGAGTTACTATCTTGAGGCCACGAGTTAGTATCTTGAGGCCACGAGTTACTATCTTGAGGCCACGAGTTACTATCTTGAGGCCACGAGTTACTATCTTGAGGCCACGAGTTAGTATCTTGAGGCCACGAGTTACTATCTTGAGGCCACGAGTTAGTATCTTGAGGCCACGAGTTAGTATCTTGTGGCCACGAGTTACTATCTTGAGGCCACGAGTTAGTATCTTGTGGCCACGAGTTAGTATCTTGAGGCCACGAGTTACTATCTTGAGGCCACGAGTTACTATCTTGAGGCCACGAGTTACTATCTTGAGGCCACGAGTTACTATCTTGAGGCCACGAGTTACTATCTTGAGGCCACGAGTTACTATCTTGAGGCCACGAGTTACTATCTTGAGGCCACGAGTTAGTATCTTGTGGCCATGAGTTAGTATCTTGAGGCCACGAGTTACTATCTTGAGGCCACGAGTTAGTATCTTGAGGCCACGAGTTACTATCTTGAGGCCACGAGTTAGTATCTTGAGGCCACGAGTTACTATCTTGAGGCCACGAGTTAGTATCTTGAGGCCACGAGTTACTATCTTGAGGCCACGAGTTAGTATCTTGAGGCCACGAGTTAGTATCTTGTGGCCACGAGTTACTATCTTGAGGCCACGAGTTAGTATCTTGTGGCCACGAGTTAGTATCTTGAGGCCACGAGTTACTATCTTGAGGCCACGAGTTACTATCTTGAGGCCACGAGTTACTATCTTGAGGCCACGAGTTACTATCTTGAGGCCACGAGTTACTATCTTGAGGCCACGAGTTACTATCTTGAGGCCACGAGTTACTATCTTGAGGCCACGAGTTAGTATCTTGTGGCCATGAGTTAGTATCTTGAGGCCACGAGTTACTATCTTGAGGCCACGAGTTACTATCTTGAGGCCACGAGTTAGTATCTTGAGGCCACGAGTTAGTATCTTGAGGCCACGAGTTACTATCTTGAGGCCACGAGTTACTATCTTGAGGCCACGAGTTACTATCTTGAGGCCACGAGTTAGTATCTTGTGGCCACGAGTTACTATCTTGAGGCCACGAGTTACTATCTTGAGGCCACGAGTTACTATCTTGAGGCCACGAGTTACTATCTTGAGGCCACGAGTTAGTATCTTGAGGCCACGAGTTAGTATCTTGAGGCCACGAGTTACTATCTTGAGGCCACGAGTTACTATCTTGAGGCCACGAGTTAGTATCTTGAGGCCACGAGTTAGTATCTTGTGGCCACGAGTTACTATCTTGAGGCCACGAGTTAGTATCTTGAGGCCACGAGTTACTATCTTGAGGCCACGAGTTACTATCTTGAGGCCACGAGTTACTATCTTGAGGCCACGAGTTAGTATCTTGAGGCCACGAGTTACTATCTTGAGGCCACGAGTTACTATCTTGAGGCCACGAGTTAGTATCTTGTGGCCATGAGTTAGTATCTTGAGGCCACGAGTTACTATCTTGAGGCCACGAGTTACTATCTTGAGGCCACGAGTTACTATCTTGAGGCCACGAGTTAGTATCTTGAGGCCACGAGTCACGAGTTACTATCTTGAGGCCACGAGTTACTATCTTGAGGCCACGAGTTACTATCTTGTGGCCACGAGTTACTATCTTGAGGCCACGAGTTACTATCTTGAGGCCACGAGTTACTATCTTGTGGCCACGAGTTACTATCTTGAGGCCACGAGTTACTATCTTGAGGCCACGAGTTACTATCTTGTGGCCACGAGTTACTATCTTGAGGCCACGAGTTACTATCTTGAGGCCACGAGTTACTATCTTGTGGCCTCGAGTTACTATCTTGTGGCCACGAGTTACTATCTTGAGGCCACGAGTTACTATCTTGAGGCCACAAGTTACTATCTTGTGGCCACGAGTTACTATCTTGAGGCCACGAGTTACTATCTTGAGGCCACAAGATAGTTATAATTATTTTTTTTTTACCAAAGTGGGACTAGAGGGGCTCCGTACATTGTTATTATGTTTTGATTGATGTGAAGCTGCTTTGATGCAATCTATATTGTGAAAAGTGCTATATAAATATACTTGACTTTATTTGCTTATATTTGTACTTCTTCATTCTCAATTGAGCTACTTAATGTTCAACAATTGTCATTGTTTGTGAATGCTCCAACTGGAAGTGAGCATCCCTATGCCCTACTCACTCTGAAGAGTGGAGCCCTTGAATTGAGGACTTTGGAGGGAATTTGACACTTGTGTCATAATGCACTTGGCGAAGAGAGCAATGAAAGTCAATGTAATTTTCACATTATATTTACGAGGAATGTTACCACGTCAATGTGTGTGTGAGTGTGTGTTCCCTCTCTGCTCTCAACCTTATAAAACTTGCTGTCTTTTATTTGGACCCTGCAGGTAGTCACATTTATTTTAATTTACTATTAAGCACATTTCTTATCTATAAAACATTTAAAGGGGTCATGAATTGAGAAGTCTAATTTTCCTTGAGGTTTTGACATATAAGAGTCATATTATAAGAATATGCTGAAAGTTTCAGAACTGAAAACTCCCTTGTAAGTCCAAAATATATATAGTTTAATATAAATATCGTTTAATGAAACAGTTATCAATGTGTAAAACTGAATTTAGCTATCTTAATCTGAGGGGATTTTGCCCTGACTAATTGTGAACTTAAATAATACATCAATTAATTAGAGACTTTAATAGAAAAACAAACCATTTAATGATGAAGGTTAAAAAGAGAAACAGATTCTAGACATTTCCTCCAGTAATCAAACCTACATCAAGGCACCTTATTCACCTCCAATGACAAACATCAATATTCAAATCAAATAAACCAAGGAACTACAGAAACACTGAAGTTATTAGGGAGTGAATTCCACATGAAGAAAGCTACAGGTAACAGGTCTGTGTTTTTAGAGAAGAATCTTCAAAAGATCCAAACTAAAGTGTAGTGCTTGATCTCTGAGTCCAGGTTCGGGACCTCCAGCCGTGTGTGTGTGTGTGTGTGTGAGCGTGTCTGTGGGTTTACTCGGCTCCGGCTGCCTCCTCTTCCTCCATCTCCACCAGCGCTGCGTGCCGGTTGGCCTGCGAGCCCTCCTTGAAGAACACCTTCTTGATGACCCCTGCTTTGGGTGCACGGATAGTGTGCTGCCCAGAAGAGGAGGACACCATCAGGTGGGTTATAGACTATAAAGTGCACTCAAAGAGAAAGTGACAGAGTCTCACCTCCATTTTCATGGCATTCATCACCATTAACGGATCTCCCTTCTGGACCGAGTCTCCGGGCTTGACTAGCACCTACAGACACAGCAGAGGCGAGATCCACAAGCATGACGAGAACAAGAACTCTTTTTTCAAATAATATACATTGCAGAATCAGCTCTTTCTCACAGTATCTGAAATTGAAAAACTGCTCTGATTGGTCAGATGACCCAGTCTGTTGTGATTGGTCTACTCTGCTCTGATTGGCCAGATGACCCAGTCCGCTGTGCTTGGTCTACTCTGCTCTGATTGGCCAGATGACCCAGTCTGTTGTGATTGGTCTACTCTGCTCTGATTGGCCAGATGACCCAGTCCGCTGTGATTGGTCTACTCTGCTCTGATTGGCCAGATGACCCAGTCTGTTGTGATTGGTCTACTCTGCTCTGATTGGCCAGATGGCCCAGTCCGTTGTGCTTGGTCTACTCTGCTCTGATTGGCCAGATGACCCAGTCCGTTGTGATTGGTCTACTCTGCTCTGATTGGCCAGATGGCCCAGTCCGCTGTGCTTGGTCTACTCTGCTCTGATTGGCCAGATGACCCAGTCCGCTGTGCTTGGTCTACTCTGCTCTGATTGGCCAGATGACCCAGTCTGTTGTGATTGGTCTACTCTGCTCTGATTGGCCAGATGACCCAGTCCGCTGTGATTGGTCTACTCTGCTCTGATTGGCCAGATGACCCAGTCTGTTGTGATTGGGCTACTCTGCTCTGATTGGCCAGATGGCCCAGTCCGTTGTGCTTGGTCTACTCTGCTCTGATTGGCCAGATGACCCAGTCTGTTGTGATTGGTCTACTCTGCTCTGATTGGCCAGATGGCCCAGTCCGCTGTGATTGGTCTACTCTGCTCTGATTGGCCAGATGACCCAGTCCGCTGTGATTGGTCTACTCTGCTCTGATTGGTCAGATGACCCAGTCCGTTGTGATTGGTCTACTCTGCTCTGATTGGCCAGATGACCCAGTCCGCTGTGATTGGTCTACTCTGCTCTGATTGGTCAGATGACCCAGTCCGTTGTGATTGGTCTACTCTGCTCTGATTGGCCAGATGGCCCAGTCCGCTGTGCTTGGTCTACTCTGCTCTGATTGGCCAGATGGCCCAGTCCGCTGTGATTGGTCTACTCTGCTCTGATTGGTCAGATGACCCAGTCCGTTGTGATTGGTCTACTCTGCTCTGATTGGTCAGATGACCCAGTTTGTTGTGATTGGTCTACTCTGCTCTGATTGGTCAGATGACCCAGTCTGCTGTGATTGGTTGACCGCTTACAGCACATGTCAGAAGCGAAATGCCAATCTGAATTTCAGCTCTGGATCTTCCTCAGTTTTTGTTAGACAGTGATACAAACAGATGGTGTTTGTTTCACCGTATCAATTCCAGCACGAGTCCTCATCCTCATGAAGTGCATTAAAGTGGATTCAGAAGAGCATAATGGGGCACTTTAATTACCATTTTGGCTCTAAATGTGACCTTTTTTACACATTATGTTCAGTATTCTATGATTCTTGACACACTACTCTAGTCTGGCATACTATAGAGAATGTACAGTATACAAACTTCAACCACAGCTGCCTTAAATACCTTTTCGATAGTGCCGGTCATGGGTGCAATAGCGCCACCCTGTGCACTGGCGCCACTAACACCAGCCAGGAACTTGGGCACCGGCAAATCCACCTGAGCACTTCCCTCCTAAACGAGAAAAAATAAAGATCATACACAACCTTGACATGAAAGCTGAAGCGAAATTCAAAGGGTGAACGAGACCCACCATTGAAAAGATGTGTACAGTGTTGTCCAGAATGACCAGTTTGGGTCGGGACAGAACCCCATTCACCGAGCAGCACAGGAAGGTCACGCCCCCCTCCAGCTGCAGCTCCCCTGACACCTGGAACACCTCACCTCCAGTCTGACAACCAAACACCACACAGAGACCTTCGTTATTTAGAGCATGACTGAGACTGTGAAATCTCGGAAAAAAACCCTGCTATTCTTTCTGATCTGGGAATGCAGATGTGCATCAACATCTTTACAGTCTACAAACATCATTTACCTCCATACTGTACGTCCCATCCGGATTGAATGTAACAGCTACTGCCACTTCTGTAAAAGAAATAATAAAATGAGTTAAATCTCATCAGAGACAAAGGAAATGTCCAGGTCATATTTACCCACAAAATCTAAAATATTATATTTTTCTTAAAGAAATCTAAGCCTATTTAAGACAATTCGTTTTTTTGTTTTTTTTTTGCATTTTGACATTATTTTATATGACAATTACACATATTTCCTGCTTTTAATGTCATTTATAATACTGTAACACACAAATAATGTAAACTGTAATGTATGCATTACTATTACAGTAAGTGCCTCTAATCAAGTGAATCGAATATTTTGGTAACACTTTACAATAAGGTTTCATTAGTTAACTAAATTAGTTCAATAAAATAAAACACTTTTACACATTTATTAATCTCAGTTAATGATAATCTCGACACATACTAAAAGTGTTTAAAATCAAAAGTTGTATCAGTTAACATTAGCTAATGAACATGAACTAACAACAAACAGTTAGTACTTAAGTACTGTAATGAATGTATTGCTAATTGTTAGTTAATGTTAGTTAATGCATTAACTAACCTCAACTCTAGGAACCTTGGTGTAGTCTTACCAATATTTAAAAAAAAAAAAAATACACAATATACACTTATATGTAATAGCACTCTCTACTACAGAACAGAGAAAACATGAATTGCCGGAAAATTCGGTCAAAGAGTTGATCATGATTAGCAGGAGCTTGACCCCTGACCTTTCCCAAATGTGTGACATTAATCAGAACATGTATAACTAAACCACTGAATAAATCTAAAGTTAAAAAGACTAATATTGCAATATAAACCCTGCATTGTATTACAGGTAGCTTGCAGTAACGACTGGCAAGACGTGCATAGTAACAACATAGTAATTACAGAAGTAATATAACAATAATTATTTGTGAAAGTGTGATCTTAATTACTAAATTTATCCTATAAAAATCTACAAGAATGCAAAATATGTGTGGATGACGCTCCTGTAGATTTGTCAGGTGTAACTCTTCTCCTGTGTGTGTGTGTGTGTGTGTGTGAGCATGCACACTCACTGTTGTCCCCCAGCTGCAGTGTCAAGTTCCTACAGTGCAGGACATTGAGTCGTCTCCCGTTACTGGAGGCAAACGGCGAGTACATGTCTGAGGAAGAGGAAGCTCAGGTTAACATGGTCTCACACACACTGAACCGATGAATGAACAGAGAACCGCTCTCACCGCTGGACCGGTCCCTGAACTCCTCGGTGTGCCGCTTCTCTCGCAGCAGCAGGCCCAGAGCGGCCTGACACAGCACCGTCCCGCTCGGGCTCCGGGCCGCCGGGAACAGCTGAGCGTAGTGCTGCGGGATGAAGCTGGTGTGGACGTTCCCCGCCGCGAACTCTGGGTGCCCCGAGAGACTCAGCAGGAAGTCGATGTTGGTGTTCAGACCCACAATCTGTCAAACAAACCATTACAGAAAAAAAACATGAACGGAAAAACACATACTTCGCACATGGTTTTGGAACAGTTCCCATGTGATCACAGTTGTTATCAGAGAATAAATCCTGATCAGGACAGGTCTTGTGACACCCTGAAGGGGTTTATTCTGCGATAACGACCGACTGAGTGTGCATTATCCGGCTTATTACACAGCTACTTCCTACTTACTTAAGTCAATAATTGGGCACAAAATGATAAAAGGCTTCCACAAAGAAAAAAAGTTACTAGCAACAGAACATCCTGTGGAGAAATCCAGCTTTTAAATGTTGTTTATATGTCAATGTGGTGTTTCAAACATGCTTTAAGGCAAACCATGTGTAAATTCATAAGTCGATAGCATTGCTGAGTATTTCCTCCTTAAAACTGAACCCGTTTATTATTTTATAATCCAATCCTGGCAAGAAGATAAACACAGCAACAATATTACAGTACTATTAATAGTTAAGATTTGTATGAATGGAGGCAGAGCGAGTGAAACGACAGACATGAAATGCATGCAGATACCTGGATGTAATTCAGCGCCACTGTATCAGATATTCCAGAGAGCCGTGTAATATAATAATAATAATCGAGGAATAAACTACACAATGATTTACTGCATTACTCAACTGTTTAGCTGCAGTATTGACAATGAACAATGGACCTTTTTCGCTAATGTGACCAAACCTTATGAACTTTTGAAGAGGGTTATAACAAACACAATTAAAAATTAAAGCTGCAAGCAGCGATGAAAAGGGCCCTCGCACCCGTGCCGCCACCACCCGGCGGTTTTAGGAAAACAGAGCACGGTGGGCAGTATGTAATCATAATAAATATAGGAGGACTATGTCAAAGGATTTGTATTTGCAAACTTCCTGCTACCAGCAGGTGGCGCTATTGCTATAAACAAATATGAGCATGGTCATGTGTTCAGGACAAGAGTCTTATCAAACATGTGAAGTTTGGAGCAGATCGGACATTGTATGCCTGAGTAACTGCAGGCTGTCTGTGGACATCGGAACTGCAAGCAATATTGACCTATATGACATATTCATGCACAAATCACCAAAAGGCTGAAATCGGGCACACCCTTCGACGGAAACTCAAGATCTTCGCAATTTAACGTCGCAAAAGCCTTAAGATTACACCCACCAAATTTGAAGAGGATCAGTTCAAAATTGTAGGAGGAGTTCGTTAAAGTACAACATCAGGAAATTACGAAAAGTGCACAAAATCTAGGAGGAAGTTCAAAATAGCTGACTTCCTGTTGTGTTTAGGGCTATGCTCCAAGAGACTTTTTGGTGTTGGGTTATATTACATGTATGTACCAAATTTCATATCTGTATGTGAAACGTAGAGCCGGGGCAAAATGTGGGGGCAATAATTTACATTTTGAAAACCATATCACACGTAAATTTTCACCACTTCTGAAGCGTGTGCAAAGTTTCATGAGTTTTCAAGCATATTTAGGCCCCCTAAAAAGCGATTCTTTTACTTTTTAAAAAAGTAAAAAAAAACATTAGGGTCCGGTCCTCTCACCATTGGTACTCAGGCCGTAAAAATTGTTACTTAAAATAGATACTAAAGCTAGTAAAATATGATTGTGGATGAGAATGTATGCTTACGTTGTATTGTCGAAGACAGTATCTGAGTCTCTTCAGAGCAGCCGAGCGATCTTCTCCCCAAACCACCAGTTTCGCGATCATGGGGTCATAATGAGCCGACACTTCATCGCCTGAGACATTATGAACAGACATACAGCATTACCAACCAACATTGAGCTAAATCACATGACCTGGACCACAAAACCAGTCACGATAATCGCACAGGTTCATTTGTGGCAATAGCCAACAATACATTGCATGGGTCAAAACTGAATCGTTAATCATAATCCATGAAGATATCCAGTAAATTTCCTACTGTAAATATATATGAACATGCACAAACAAAACATTTTTTGCACCCTCAGATTCCAGATCTTGTCCAAATAAACATCCTAACAAACCAAACATCAATGGAAAGTTTATTTATTGAGCTTATTTATTTATTCATGATCTCAATATCAAAACCTTTACCCTTGTGACTGGTTTGTGGTCCAGGGTTACATTTATGAATGACAATCATTAACTAATAATACCTTTATTGTAGAATAAATATGAGTCACTATCAAGGGCAACACATAGCACTGTCAATTTAACACGTTAATTTAAAAAAAATTAGTTTAATTAAAGAGAAAAAACACTACATTAAAATAATGAACGCATCCTCCCCACCCCAGAATAAACAAGCCAAAAGCGCGTCAGACGCAGATACGATGGAGACGCTCGCGTTCGCTCTAGGAAGATTGCCAAGTCGTGGCTCAGGAAAATACATTCGTAATATATTGGACTTTTAAAGTGGCCTATTTAACCTGTTGAGACATGCATTCACAAGAGCTGTGTTTGTGGAGTTTTGCACAGGTTGTCTGTAGATGTGCTTTATTTTTGTAATTCTGCTACAGTAGGTGCCATACTTCACCTTTAAAAAGCTAGCTCACCTAAAAACAAGAAGTCTGTCATCGTTTACTCGCCCTCATTTCAAACTTGTATAAATGTCTTTGTTCTTCTGAACACAAAGGAAGATATTTTAATATATTATGGTAGTCAAACGAGATCTGCTTGGTTACAAACATTCTTCAAAATATGAAAAAACGAAAAAAAGAAGACATTTACACAAGTTTGGAATGAGTTAACAATGACAGCATTTTCATTTTTGGGTGAGCTATCCCTTTAACATGTTAACTGTCAATCCGCTTTTTTTAAAACATGGAAATGCTCATTTCGAACTTAAATGGTTGTAATTAGAATATAGACGTAAGGTGGTCTCGTTTTAAAGAAGACATGGCCGATTTTTGTCGAAGTGAAATAAATTAAGAAAGTGAAACGTAGAAGTTTGAGTTTATGGAAATGTATAATGTAAAAAAATTAATTCTTCATATTTTATATAATATATACATTTTCAAAACCTGGGCTACTCTAAAACTGCAGAAAAATCAAAGCCAAAAATCTGAACAAGTTGTGTTTAAAATTTTAGGTTGATATCTCAAATAATGAGCTTTCTGTGCGATTTTGTTTGGGTGCAGTACCGAACGCTTCCACTAGGGCACAACCAGACTCCATTACTGCCCATATAAGGGCGCCGCCATTTCCATATGCGTTTTGAGTGATCTGAACCATCATTTACACAATTTTCATACAATTTATGAAGTAGACATCCTATTCAGAAGTAGTATGGGAAGTTTGACAGATTTTGAACCTCTAAGAAACACATAAAAGAACACGCATGTACGTTATAGCTTCCTGCCACATCACAAATGGTGATTTTTTTTTTAAATATTTAAACATTTTCAGACCTTTTTTCTAAAATAATTGAATGGATGCAATCTTTTGAACTCTTGGCATGAAAACAAACTGAGGTTTCTACCTTTTTTCATGTTCATTGATATTTCAAAATAAAGGTCTGAACACGCTTTATGAGTATGCCAATTTTCTTGTTGCAAAGTGATAAATTACGGCTCCTGTGTAATTTTAGTTTTGTAAATCAGTCACCAAATATTAAAACAAATTTAAAATTAAAAAAAAAACAGAAAAACAAATTCTACTATTTTTAAGGAGGGAAAGCAATGCTATTTAAACTATAAAAGAAAAGCCATATCTGAATGCATTAAGTGACTATGGTGAGGGTGACACACCTTCTCGGACGCCAGTCTCTATGCGTGTGCACGGGTCCCCCGGCGGCGTGGAAAGGTGCCGCAGCGGCCCCGCTCCGGGGAGGAAGTCGTTACTGGGGTCTTCAGCGTAGATTCTGGCTTCAAAAGAGTGACCCCGCAACACAATCTGCTCCTGCGTGAGGGGCAACTTCTCCCCCGCTGCCACCTGAGCGACAACACATGTGTTATTTGCAGACACTAACTAGCGAAGCAATCAGGCGTCACTGTGACCCCTGGTGGACACAATCTGCAATGACTGTTTCTATTACTTGTGAAAGATGTGATCCTGAACCACTAAACCAGTCACATGGGTCAGGTTTTTCATATTGAGATGTATAACATCATCTGAAAGCTGAATAAATACGCTTTCAATTGATGTTTGGTTTGTTAGGATGTTTATTTGGACGAAAAAACTGCAAAAAAATCAAAACATTGAAAAAAAAAAAAAATCTCCTTTAAAGTTGTGCATTTATGCTCGTGATTGAGCTGCATCCACTCACACAAATAAATGTTTTATATATTTACGGTAGGAAATGATCTTCACTGAATATCCCAATGATTTTTGGCATGGATGAAAAATGGATAATTTTGACCCATGCGATGGTTGGCTATTGGTTTTGTGGTCCAGGGTCACGTGTGTGAATATCTTGAGCGTTTGGAGTCTCACACGCAGCTGCCACTCCACCAGGTCTGTTCCCGTGATCATCTCCGAGACGGGGTGCTCCACCTGCAGACGCGTGTTCATCTCCATGAAGTAGAAGTTGTGCTGCGCGTCCATGATGAACTCCACAGTTCCTGCTCGGCCACAAATGAAAATGATGTCATCGTATGGTCAATAAAACCGGTTATTTCCTTTAAAGAGGCCATCATCAGTCAGTCATGATTTTACTAGAACTAGTTTCCCTGCTTGAATCTTATATTCTGTTTAGAAACACTGACACTGATATAGAGAGTAACTCCCGCAGGAGGGACGGATTCATGCTCAAACTGCAACATTACACACTAAAGACAGATGAACAGGGACAAATCCATAATGGGTCTTTAAATAATTAGATTTTACTAAAGGGATAGTTCACTTTGAAATTAATTTTTACCTCAAGGGCATCCAAGATGTAGGTGTCTTTGTTTCCACAGTATTTTCAATTTTGACATTTTTAGGTCAAACCGTTCTTGTCTGTCAGTCATATAATGGAGGTCTATGGTCACCACCTCAAAGAGCATGCACAGAGAAGTCCAAATTAAACATGATTTAATGACTCGTAAATGTAAGCACACATTGATGGCCTAAGACACGAAACGAGCGGTTTGTGTGAGAAAACGAACAGTATTTATATCGTTTTTACCTCTTGTAACCACAGCCACAAAGCACCCGTGCCTTCAGATCACTTGGACGTGGCTGTGGTTACAAGAGGTAAAAACGATATAAATACTGTTTGTTTTCTCACACAAACCGCTCGTTTCGTGTCTTAGGCCATCAATGTGTACTTACATTTACGAGTCATTAAATCATGTTTAATTTGGACTTCTCTGTGCATGCTCTTTGAGGTGGTGACCATAGACCTCCATTATATGACTGACAGACAAGAACAGTTTGACCTAAAAATATCAGAATTGAAAATACTGTGGAAACAAAGACAACTACATCTTGGATGCCCTTGAGGTAAGATAAAACATACCAAAAATTAATTTCAAAGTGAACTATCCCTTTAAGAAATCTTATAGTAAAATTATTTATTATAAACTCAATAGATATTACATGTTAAAAAAGGCGATATAAAAACTGTTTATTGGGCAATATACACGACTGCTTGGGGTCAGTACATTTTTTTATATACATACACATATGTTCACTATATGAAACATGTCATTGTGAAATATTATTAAAATTTAAAACGGCAGTTTTCTATGTGAATATATAGTGAGTTTATTCCTGTGATAAAGCTGTATGTAGAGTCACATGATCCTTCAGAAATCACTCTAATATGAGGATTTCATGATCAAAAAATATTTAGGATTATTATCAACGTTAAACAGTTGTGCTGCTTCATATTTTCAGGATTTCTTTTATGAATATGTTCAATAAAACAGCATTTATTTTGAAATAGAATCTTTTGTAAGATTGTATCTGTATTTACAGTCACTTTTTGATTTAATGCATCCTTGCTGAATAAAAGTATGATTTTTTTTTTCATATAAATACAGACCCCAAACTTTTGAATGGTTGGGAAATGGGTACATATAGTCATCACACTAATGCTGTCATCAGCTGAAACGCATCACATGACATCATCATCATCACCTGCTCCAACATAGTTGACTGCTTTGGCTGCCCGCACTGCGGCCTCTCCGAGCTTCTGCCGGACCTCAGGACTGATGCCTGGCTGCACACACACGCACGCACACGCACACACACACACACACACACACACACACACACAAAGCAAGGTCAGTTACATTAAATGGATAGTTCACCCAAAAATGCATATTAACCCATGATTTACTCTCCCTAGGCATTCTGCACTTTTATGATGGATGGATGCACTTTTATGATTGATAGATACACTTTTATGATGGACAGATGCACTTTTATGATGGATAGATGCACTTTTATCATGGATAGACGCACTTTTATGATGGATAGATGCACTTTTATCATGGATAGATACACTTTTATCATGAATAGATGCACTTTTATGATGGATGCACTTTTATGATGGATAGATGCACTTTTATCACGGATAGATACACTTTTATGATGGATGCACTTTTATCATGGATAGATGCACTTTTATCATGAATAGATGCACTTTTATCATGGATAGATGCACTTTTATCATGGATAGATGCACTTTTATGATGGATAGATGCACTTTTATCATGAATAGATGCACTTTTATGATGGATAGATGCACTTTTATGATGGATAGATGCACTTTTATCATGGATAGATACACTTATCATGAATAGATGCACTTTTATCATGGATAGATGCATTTTTATCATGGATAGGTGCACTTTACTGAAGGATAGATACACTTTTATCATGAATAGATGCACTTTTATCATGAATAGATGCACTTTTATGATGGATGCACTTTTACCATTGATAGATGCACTTTTATGATGGATAGATGCACTTTTATGATGAATAGATGTACTTTTATCATGGATAGATGCACTTTTATGATGGATAGATGCACTTTTATCACGGATAGATGCACTTTTATGATGAATAGATGCACTTTTATCATGGATAGATGCAGTTTTATGATGGATAGATGCACTTTTATCATGGATAGATACACTTTTATCATGAATAGATGCACTTTTATGATGGATGCACTTTTATGATGGATAGATGCACTTTTATCACGGATAGATACACTTTTATGATGGATGCACTTTTATCATGGATAGATGCACTTTTATCATGGATAGATGCACTTTTATCATGAATAGATGCACTTTTATCATGGATAGATGCACTTTTATGATGGATAGATGCACTTTTATCATGAATAGATGCACTTTTATGATGGATAGATGCACTTTTATGATGGATAGATGCACTTTAATCATGGATAGATCCACTTTTATCATGAATAGATGCACTTTTATCATGGATAGATGCATTTTTATCATGGATAGGTGCACTTTACTGAAGGATAGATACACTTTTATCATGAATAGATGCACTTTTATCATGAATAGATGCACTTTTATGATGGATGCACTTTTACCATTGATAGATGCACTTTTATGATGGATAGATGCACTTTTATGATGAATAGATGTACTTTTATCATGGATAGATGCACTTTTATGATGGATAGATGCACTTTTATCACGGATAGATGCACTTTTATGATGAATAGATGCACTTTTATCATGGATAGATGCAGTTTTATGATGATAGATGCACTTTTATCATGGATAGATGCACTTTTATGATGGATAGATGCACTTTTATCACGGATAGATGCAGTTTTATGATGGATAGATGCACTTTTATCATGGATAGATGCAGTTTTATGATGGATAGATGCACTTTTATCATGGATAGATGCAGTTTTATGATGAATAGATTCACTTTTATCATGGATAGATGCACTTTTATCATGATAGATGCACTTTTATGATGGATAGATGCACTTTTATCACAGATAGATGCACTTTTATCATGGATGGATGCACTTTTATCATGGATGGATGCACTTTTATCATGGATGGATGCACTTTTATGATGGATGCACTTTTATCACAGATAGATGCACTTTTATGATGAATAAAAGTGCATCTATGCACTTTTATGCACTTTTATGATGGATAGACGCACTTTTATCATGGATAGATGCAGTTTTATGATGGATAGATGCACTTTTATCATGGATGGATGCACTTTTATCATGGATAGATGCACTTTTATCATGGATAGATGCACTTTTATCATGGATAGATGCACTTTTATCATGCATAGACGCACTTTTATCATGGATAGATGCACTTTTATGCACTTTAAAATCGCAACGTCCATTCACTGCCATTATAAAGCTTTGGAAGAGCCTGGACATTTTTGATATAACTCTGATTGTATTCGTCTGAAAGAATAATGTCATATACACCTAGGATGACTTTAGAGAAAGTAAATCATGGGGTAATTTGCTTTTTTGGGTGAAGTATCCCTTTAACACCACCAGCATATATCATACCCATACAGGATCAGACTGCAGATGCTGAATGAGTGTGACTCTTACCCCGGGAGCTTCCTCTATGATCTTCTGGTGTCGTCTCTGGACGCTACAGTCTCTCTCGAACAGATAGACCGCATCACCACACTGATCTCCGAACACCTGCACCTCCACGTGTCTAACGCAACAACACACACATCACATCACACACATCGAACTATGTGAGTGACGCACACTGGATAAACCAAACAGACCTGGGGTTCTCCACAAACTTCTCGACCAGCATGACGTCGTCGTTGAAGGACTTGCGAGCCTCTCTCCGAGCGGACTCCAGCTGCTCCAGGAACTCTGCTTCCGAGCGTGCGATTCGCATTCCCTGTGGGATCAAGCAGCGGTTTCAGACGAGCATAACACTACACAATCCTTCAGTGAAAACACACGCCACCTTTCCTCCGCCGCCGCGCACTGCTTTGATCATCACCGGGTAACCAATCCTGGCCGCCTCGCTCTGAAGCCGTGCGTCTGATTGGTCCTCGCCATGGTAACCCTCAATGATTGGCACGCCTGCAGCTGACATGATGTGTTTAGATGTGCTAAAACACAACAAACAAAGATGTGTTTCTATTGCATAAATTAAAAACAAGACACTTTAATGTTGGTTAGAAAAGTGCTGCTTCTGAAATTTTAGCATACTTTTTAGTTCAGAAATAATATACCTTAAAATAATATATTAAGCGTGAAGAATGTAATATTAAATGTAATTAGAGTGCTTTTGACCCATTTGAGCAGGACTTTAAAACGTTTCATTTAATTTCATGATTCTATATTGTCTTTGAAATACATTTAAAAGGTTGCGGACTAAGAATTTAAGCATTATTTAGAATTTTGTGAAACTAAAAAGTAGATTTTTAACATATTTTATAGAGCTGGGCAATGATTAATCGCGATTAATCGCATCCAAAATAAAAGTTTGTGTTTACATAATATATGTGGGTGCACTGTGTATAATTATTTAGTATATATAAAATACACACACATGCATGTATATATTTAAGAAATATGTGCATGTATATATTGTATGTATATTTATACAAAATTTATATTATATATAAATATTAATATTTTATATATAAATAATACATTTCTCTGAAATCTATACATGCATGTGTGTGTATTTATATATACAAAACAATTATCCGCAGTACATACATGTATTATATAAACACAAGCTTGTATTTTGGATGCGATTAATCTCAATTAATCATTGCCCAGCACTAATATTTTAATATAATTTCTATACAAACTGTGCGTCATCTTTTTGTAATTTAGTACATTTAAAATACATTACCTTTAAAAAGTATTATTGAATAAAACACAACAGTTAAAATTATAATCAAGTAATTCACATTCTAGTACATTAAGCACTTCTTTAAAGCATGTAAAAAGATTAAAACAATGAGTTTAAAATGTACTTTACACTCAAACCTTTCTTTTGAGTGCACTTTTTAAGAGTACTTAAGTGTGTTCAGAAACAGTTTTGAGAGTGTACTTTATGCAAGTTGAATATTTCAGTAATATTATATTATCTGCAAGTACCTTTTAAAAATATACATTTTAAGATTTGAAGTACACTACAAGTGCACATTTAATACAATTAAACATACTAATCTTTCACAAGAACTTTTTCTAGGGTGCACAGAAACATCAAATATTTTTGCACGTTATTATGATCAAAATAACTGTACCTTTTGATTCCCATGTCCCGAATGGCTGATGACGGTGGCCCGATGAAGATGATGCCTTCTTGTTTGCACCGTTCAGCAAACTCTGTATTTTCCGACAGGAAACCATATCCAGGATGGACCGCCTTCCCAAAACAACAATAAAAAAAGAGAGATTATCATATGATACATATAATAAATATCTAGTTGAGAAAGGTGTGTGTTGAGGTCAGCACACCTGTGCGCAGGATCTCTTGGCCACGTCCAGAATCTTGTCCATGCACAGGTAACTCTGCTGGGATGCCGCTGGCCCGATGTGATACGCCTCGTCCGCCTGAGTCACAGAGGACACCGCAGAAAATGCTTAAATATGTCATTTTGGTGATCAAATATGAGTTTTAAAGGATACAATTGGGACTACAATAAGTGTATTATTTTCTGTGATAAGTAACTACTGTTATGATAAGGAAATACATTTGAATTCAGAAGTTAAAAGTGCACTTATCATAGAACAGGTCAATGTATGTAATGTGAAAATTGGATTTTTTTATTTTTGGAAACGCATATCATTGACTCCTTCATCCACACGTTCGATCTATCACCCATCAACCACTTGTGAGGTGTGTGTAGTGTGTGTTAGTACGCAGGGTTTGCTCACCATGGCCACATGCATGGCCTGTCTGTCTGCATCACTGTACACGGCCACAGAGCGGACACCCATCTTCCTCGCCGTCCGCATCACACGGCACGCGATCTCCCCTCTATTGGCGATGAGGACCTTCTCAATCCGGCCTGTGAGAGAGAAACACCACTGTAAATAATAATCATAATCATAATAATCTTAATAACAGCATCCATGACGGGTCTCTTACCCACAGATGCATGTCTGAAGGATCCTTTGGTCCAGATCAGAGTCCTGCAATGAAGAGAGCAAGAGATCATGAGCACTGGGTTTAGTAAACAGTGACAAGGGCAAACACGTCTGCAGAGGTCATGACCTCTTCAAACATGCAGATATATCACTTAATAATACTGCAAAACATCACACACACATATTGATAACTGTTCACTATAAGCTCATCTTCAGTCACCTTGAACAAAACACACATTCATAAACAATCACACGTTATTTTGACCCATAACGTTACATGACTTCACGGCAGAATTTAGTCAAAGATATTAGTGCAATGAATATTAGTGCATTAACGTTATTTTAGAAGAGAAATGTAACGTTAGCTACTTCACTTCAAGTTTGAATGTCATATACTTCTCGACTGATGCAGACACTGAACTCTGAACACAGACAACTTTAACGAACACCTAACGTTATATTTGCTCTTAAAATGATATAATAAAGAAGCTTGTGACTTACAGCAGATGTTTGTTTATATCTCTGTTGATGTGAGTTTTCAGAAACACTGCAGCCATGTTTATTGTTAGCGAATGACAAATGTAACTAACAGTTACTCGACTCCTGCCCCAAAACAGCGCATTTATTTAATATATTTCATCGGTTTTACAGCTCCATTATAATAACATTCATGGAATATTTCCAAACATGAATACTCTGTCAAACTAATCCGTGTGAAATGGCATTTAAACGACCATATAAGTGATGTTACGTGTAGCGGCAGCAACAGCGAACACATTAAGTTTGTCCTCTTTATGTTACCGTACTGACAGCAGCCAATCAGAAGCGAGAGATTGGAGGCGGGGACTGACGTATGTTTAGGGATTATGGGATATGAAGTCAAAACAAAAAGAGGTTTCATCGTTTCATTCAACATAGGGCAACTTGAGAGCATAATGATTTATGAATAAATACATTGAATAAATACATTATATAGAAATTGTCTTGTTGCAAAAGTAAGTGTCTATGTGTGAGATGATGATAAAATAAACAAATTTGAATAAAAATGTTTGTGTGTGTGTGTTTGTATATATATATATATATATATATATATATATATATATATATATACACACACACACAAAAACATTTTTATTCTAACACCATTTTACAAAGAGTGTTTTATATTCACATGTAACACCTGCATTTCAACACGACCCAAAATCTTCAGACATCAGAATGAAAAAAGTGACATTTGCATTATAATGAACACATCGACAACAGCAGTTAAGTCACTCGTATTTTAATTGTTTACAGACAATATCCACACACTGTAAAACAATGAAATCTGCTGATTGGTCTCCACTCTGCACGCCTAGAGCTGTTCGTAGCCTTGGCCCCGGCGCTCTCGCACCAGCACATACGTCAGGATTGCGATCAGGCAAATGGCGGCAGCGACACCCCCCAGGATAATCGGGATCACACGTTTGTTGTAATCCGCCCAGCACTCAACCTCTGAAATTAAGTCACGATAAACCATCTTACTCTTGGCGAAACAGGATGATAGAATATAATTGATCACGTTTGATTAAATATGAATTATATTGACCTTTGCCGAACGCTCCACTGGCGAGGTCGAAGGCCTGGATCTGCAGCGGCACCAGTTTGAGTCTGAGGTTGCTGGACAGTATCAGAGTCGTCTCAGACTTGCACTGGAAGCTCAGGCCATTTTTTGCTAAGAATAGCTTCTCGTGATCCACGATTCCAATGTAGGTTTTATCTGTGGATTCAATTTGGAAAATCTTGTTAAATGGTAATCATGCTCATAGAAATAAAATTCTACTAAAACAACAATGATTAGTCCTTATGGAACTAGAAACAAAAGAAAGAAATGAGGCACATTATGATATTTTCATGATTTTTTTTTTTGACCAAATCTTTATATATATATATATATATATATATATATATATCAGAGGTGGGGGACTCGAGTCACATGACTTGACTCGAGTCTGACTCGAGTCACAATTTTCAGGACTTGTGACTTGCTTGATTAAAGTACAAAAATGACTTGACTTGACTTTGACTTGAGAACAAGTTACTTGAGACTTGACTTGACTTGAAGTGGAAGACTCGACAATGACTTGAACATATAATAAACAAACAGCAATACAGTTAATTAAAATATATATTATGGCGTCAGCATCAATATATCGGCATCTGTGCCTTTACGCTGCTCAATTCAAACCGCGCCAAACGGAAGTTCCGGGAGTCTCACGCATATTGATAGCGTCTCCCTGATGCCCGCAAATGAGTTAAAATCTCCCGGAATCTAGAGCGAGATACTGCGCGTATAACATACATAGCGTGCGGCGTGTGCACGGCAGAGATATGGGAAGCCAAACAAACCAAAGTGGGACGAGACAGCGGGGCTTTACAGAGCTCGTGCCGCGCAGACATGTCATCTGCACGGTTCAATGATCCGAGCCGCGCAGCCGATTCGTCAGCGCAGCGCGGACGTGTTTCCTAGCGACACTCAATAGTCAGCGCTGTACTGACCAATTTAAAGCAACGCAAACCATATGCTACATACTACATGCAAATAAATGTACAATAAAGAAACCCCTCCTTCCTTACAAAGAATTGTTCTCTACTGAAGTTTAGGAGTTAATTATGGAGAATTCCATAATTAAAACAATCATTTGTTAATATTTATGTAAATTTAATATATAATATACATAATATTATTTAATATGTAATATTTATTAAATATAAAATATGTTAATATAACATATTACCATTTTTATTTTATATTTATTTTAAACATATTTTAAATATGTTAATATAACATATATTAACCCCCCCCCCCCCCCCCCCCCCCCCCCCCCCCAACATTACATTCATTGAGATATACCTCCTGAAATGAATTCTTGTAGGTTGGGATGTCTGTATATGCAGCATAGATATATACACGGCTGTGCAGCTGCAAATGCGTTTTACATATAGGTTTCAGTAAATCGAGGAAAAGGAGTTTCCGAAGACATTTGTTGGTTATGATAAGAAAAACTACTGAATTAAAAAAAAAAATTGCATTTTATATTCTCATTTCATACATTTTATATTTTACATTTATATAAGATATAAGATATTACATTTTAGATTTCATACATTTTAGACCGTTTCAATTAAATTGAATTAGACAGATTGGATTATACATCTTAGACTCTGAACGTTTTGTGTAAACAACACAATTTTATTTTATTTTCAGATATTAATGTAGCACAGATATGCATATGATTAATATAGCAAATGTAAGATACATAATATATGTATAAAAGTTCATCTTTTCTGTGCAAAAATAAATATGTATCGAAAAAATTTACCTCTATTTATTTTAGTAGTGTGACTTGACTTTACTTGAAACTTATCAGGACTTGACTTGACTTGCTTAGGGTGAACCCTTGACTTGACTTGACTTGCTTGATTTATCTGAACTGCGACTTGAGACTTGACTCGAGACTTGATGGTTAAGACTTGAGACTTGCTTGGACTTGACCATGTGTGACTTGTCCCCACCTCTGATATATATATATATATATATAATTTTATTTATATATATATATATATATATATATATATATATATATATATATATATATATATATATATATATATATTAGGGCTGTCAAATGATTAATCGCGATTAATCGCATCCAAAATAAAAGTTTTTTTTGTATATTTTGTATATTTTTGTATATTTAAGAAAAAAACCATTTACGTATATAATATTTATATTTATATAATAGAAATTATATATAAACCTATATACAGTATATACATGAAAATATTTCTTAAATATATACAAGCATGTGGGTATATATATATATATATATATATATATATATATATATATATAAAATAATTATACACAGTGCACCCACATATGAACACAAACTTTTATTTTGGATGCGATTAATCGCGATTAATCGTTTGACAGCCCTATATATATATATATATATATATATACACTTTTTTTTGGTGTGAAATATGACTTGACATGTTTTTGTAACACTCACTCTTAGTTTAAACGACACTGTTTTCAACTAAAAACATAAAAACTTTTTACATGTGTTTTGGCCGTTCATTTACATAACAACGACATTTTGAAGGCCTGAAAACACAAACTTTTGCAGGTTTTGAAAACGATACGATTATCGTCTCTGTGTAAACTACAAAAACATGAATCTGTGAAAACACTGGCGTCATGTATCACGTGTTCAGTCTATAGGCGCGCGGTTTCTTTACAAAGTGACATCACCCCCTACTGGCCTGGCATGAATAATACACAGTCGTTTTGATGGATTCGTGTGATTGGGGAACGGTTTGACAACGATGTCATCTGTACGCAGAAAACGCAAAGGAAAAACATTTCCATTTTTAGTACATTGATGTCATTTAAACCTACCTGTGTTATGCATGTAAACATTGTATGCTTAATTTCACGATAAGTGCGTGATTAAGTGCTCAAAAAGGGAGCCCTAATAAAACGTTTTCCGTTTTTAATTGGAAAACATTGTTGTGTAAACGGCTGTATATCACAGGGTTCCTAAAATGTTTTCCATCAGTGTAATTTATACTTACTCTGGCAATTTTTACAAGTGGGGACAGGCATCAGAAGACCTGTGATCTTCTTCACATAGAAGACATTGCCTTCCTGCAAGGGTGGCGAAATACTGAATTGCATGTTCATTATGGCTAGATGTTATGCACATATTTTTACAGTTAAGAGAAACGTGTCATAAATGCATACTGATGATACTGTAGGTACCTTGATGAAAGTGAACTCCAGATTTCCACCAGCAAAACTCAGTGAGAGAACAGACTTTTGGTTCAAACAGTATCCCGAGGCTTGTGTGGAGCCGGGGTCCAGGTTGAAATAGTACTTCTTCTGGAATACAAGTTAAAAAATGTGATTAATGGATGCTGGAAATCAAATTCCTATAAATGAACTATATCAAAACTGTTGGGATCTAAAGATCAAGACACACAAATTGGGTGTGACTGATTGGAAGCAGCAGAAAATGAAAAGTCATATTTCCAAAATGTACCCCTTTACTGAATGCATGGACAGGACAGTGAAAAAGATATTGGTTGAAAACTTGGTAAACTAAATTGTGAAAGTTCTCGAGACCCCAAAACTGGCATTTACATCAACAAACGTGATATACAAGTGGAAGTAAATAAATCTAAGCTGATTATCCCAAAATTCAGTTCATTTGAAATGCATCTCTTAATTGTGAAAAAAGTACACTTTATTGCACACTTTAAAATCATGAATTATTTCACAAATAATATACTTAAATGTGAACTAAAAGTAAAGTTAAATTAAAATTATTTTAATTTAAAATAATTATTAGGAACACCACTCTAATACTGTGTTTGACCCCCTTTAGCTTCAGAACTGCCTTAATTCTACGTGGCATTGATTCAACAAGGTGCTGAAAGCATTCTTTAGAAATGTTGGCCCATATTGATAGGATAGCATCTTGCAGTTGATGGAGATTTGTGGGATGCACATCCAGGGCACGAAACTCCCACTCCACCACATCCCAAAGATGCTCTATTGGGTTGAGATCTGGTGACTGTGGCGGCCATTTTAGTACAGTCAACTCATTGTCATGTTCAAGAAACCAATTTGAAATGATTCAAGCTTTGTGACATGGTGCATTATCCTGCTGGAAGTAGCCATCAGAGGATGGGGACATGGTGGCCATAAAGAGATGGACATGGTCAGAAACAATGCTCAGGTAGGCTGTGGCATTTAAACGATGCCCAATTGGCACTAAAGTGTGCCAAGAAAACATCCCCCACACCATTACACCACCACCACCAGCCTGCACAGTGGTAACAAGACATGATGGATCCATGTTCTCATTCTGTTTACACCAAATTCTGACTCTACCATCTGAATGTCTCAACAGAAATCGAGACTCATCAGACCAGGCAACATTTCTCCAGTCTTCAACTGTCCAATTTTGGTGATCTCTTGCAAATTGTGGCCTCTTTTTCCTATTTGTAGTGGAGATGAGTGGTACCCGGTGGGGTCTTCTGCTGTTGTAGCCCATCCGCCTCAAGGTTTTGTGTGTTGTGTCTTCTTCACAAATGCTTTGCTGAATACCTCGGTTGTAACGAGTGGTTATTTCAGTAAATTTGCTCTTCTATCAGCTTGAATCAGTCGGCCCATTCTCCTCTGACCTCAAGCATCAACAAGGCATTTTCGCCCACAGGACTGCCGCGTCCTGGATGTTTTTCCCTTTGCACACCATTCTTTGTAAACCCTAGAAATGGTTGTGTGTGAAAATCCCAGTAACTGAGCAGATTGTGAAACACTCAGACACCAACAACCACGCCACGCTCAAAATTGCTTAAATCTCCTTTCTTTCCCATTCTGACATTCAGTTTGGAGTTCAGGAGATTGTCACACCCCTAAATGCATTGAAGCAACTGCCATGTGATTAGTTGATTAGATAATTGAACATGTGTTCCTAATAATCCTTTAGGTAAGTGTATATATATATATATATATATATATATATAGTTGATTTACCCCTAAAATGCTTTTAATCCCAAATGGTTCATATTCATACGTTAAGCATATAAGTTAATAATATATTAATAATTAGCAATTATTTTTAAGTTGATTAATAATATCCCAAAATCCAGTTCATTTGAAAGGTATCTCTCATGGAAAAGATACACTTTAGCACAGTAATTATTATTAATTAGCTGAAATTTATAGTGTTTTTGACTCACTTAAATACATCTTACTTTAATAATAACTTGTAATTTGTAATGATGAATCTGTACATTTAGTTAGTACATTTAGGGTATTAACCTGTAATAGTAGTCAACATTTTAAGTGAATCAACAAAGTATTGTTCAAAATTCATGTATAACTTTGATGAAAGGTTTCAAATGTTGACTATATAATATAATATATTGTTGCTTTATTACTCCCAAATGGGGCATATTCATATGTTAAGCTCCAAAGTTGGACTCTTAATGAATCTGTCCCAGTTGAAAGCTATTGTACCCCTTCTGCACATATAGAGCCGTTGCCAGAGTTAGTGGTGAGTTCTCACCCCGAGAGGAATATGCTGAGAGCTGGAATAAAAGTGCTGAGAGCATAACATGCTTACTTTGTTCTCTCTCACCACATACTCCCCTCCCAAACGGGCCCGCACACACACTTGTCCTTTAAGGTTCTTGAGTGTGTAGGTGGACTGAGGCGGGGCCGTCTCTTTGGGCTGCAGGACGGGTCTCTTGGGAGCATCTCTACTGTTGACGGCAGGATCTTCATCGCTGGAAGCCGCTGGGTTTGAAAGGTCAAGAGAGCTTCCTGTAAGCACAACGCAACGGGGGGCTTCAAAGAGCAGCACTCATGAAGAAGTGTTAACCAACACAGAGGCATCACACGCAACTATGCACGCTGCAAAATCAACTCAGTGTTGCTTTGTGCTTCTCTGCAATTACACCACAAAGTTTGCAAATCTAAAAATGTTCTCTCATTGTAAATCACAAGTTTGTGGAATAATTAGATTCAAATGAAATGCAAGTCGACTCACCTAGCCAATGCAGGGAAGACAGCATGAGAAACAGAGCGATGGGTCGGCGTGTGCGAGTCATGTTGTTGGGTCGCAGAGCAGATGCTGGTCTAGATTCGGCGTTTAACTGATGTCCATGTGGTTGTGAAGGAGGACACTTATGCCGCAATGCTGTCAGCAATTGTCTGACAACAGGAAGCATTTAGCCAAGCCCACAATTAGTTCACCAAGTACTGATATGAGTAATGACTCTATATTTGTGTAGTTTTTTATTAGATTTGGGTTTTGGGGAATCTAGATGACTGTGCGATGAAAAGCAGGAGCACGGTTGTAGAGTCGGGTCTGGACGTTACTGGTGCCAGTTTTGGAGTCTGAGCCAAAACTGTGTGTCACTCATGCTTTTATGTAGATGGTTCAATGTCACAGCAAGCACCACTTACATTTCCATTTAAAAACTTCCACAACATCATCATCACAAGTTTATTAAAAGGATAGTTCATCTAAAAATGTTGTCATCATGTCCTCAGCCTCATGTTGTTCCAAACCTGTATGAGTTTCTTTCTTTCTGATGGACACAAACCAAGATATGTTGAAGAATGTCGTAACCATACAGTTGCTGGACCCCACTGACATTCATAATAGGACAACAAATACAATGGAAGTCAATGGGGTACTGCAACTGTCTGGACCAACATGAGGGTAAGTAAATGATCACAATTTTCATTTTTTGGGGTGAACTATCCCTTTAACTGTGTTATGTTCATCTGCAGCAGTTCTGAATTTGTAAGGTGTGAACGACGAGCAGATTGCCCAGACAAGTCTGTTCACACTTACTGTGCTCTGTTCACTTTTTTACTTCCCTTCCCACTTTAGTTGGCGGCTCTTCTTTCTTTTTCTTTTTGTGTTCTTTTTTTATGTTTTGTGTTTTCTTGTTTCTCGTGTTTTTATTTGAAACATTTTAGAAAATACTGAAAATGAGAATGTGCAAACCATGTTGTAGCATAATTTTAGAAAAAAAATGTGACATTATCTTACCAAAAAATACTACATTTATGGATGAATGATGTGAAACTATTTTACTGTCAAGTTTATTACTCAAAAATACAGTATATATGTAAATCATTCAAAAACCTTTCAAATTTCTGAATTAAAAGTTTCGAGTCTTGTTTTGTGGAACAATGCACTAACACAAAATATTGTTTGTAAAATTTAAAAAAAAAAAACTTTCCAACATGCAGATCGTCTTTTTGATGCCAAAATCCATGGTTGAACCTTTTTAACCTTTTGTTTTTATGCTAGGGCTGCACTGATTGGGGTGATTTTGTAGGAGAGTGAATATGCAAATAATAATAATAAATATAGCTGCAAGCAGCGATTACAGGCTCAAGTTGGTGGAACCGCCACCCCGGTGCCTTTAGCGTTACTGTGCATGACGGGTAAGGGCTCTGCAAAAGTGTGTGTTGAGGACACATATCAAACACAAACAATACATGAGCAACCTTCTGAAACCTAAAATGAAAAATGAGACACCCTATACAGTCTCATTGTCACAGTGTTGGGTTTGTGTTCCCCAGGTGTCCACTAGATGTCCTTCTTCCCCACGGTGTCATTCACTTATGAACTACATTTCCCACAATCCTTGCCTTATCGTTGCACTATGCTGTTCCTTATCACTGATCATTGCACTCAGGCATTTCCCCATTATCGTTGACTATTCCCTGTGTATATAACCCTCTCTATTTCAGTGTGTGTTACAGAGTCCTTGCATTTATCACGCCACTTCTGATGTCCTGTTTTCCTTGCTTCTTGTTTTGTTTCCTGTATGTTGGATTGCCTTTGGATTTTGAGCCTTGCTTGGACTTGTTAACGATTTTGGAATATCCTCAAATAAACTACTGCTTTTGGATTTAACCCCTGTTTCCTGTGTGTGGATCGTGACAGAAGGACTCCGTCACACCCTAAATCCAGCGGTATGTTTTCAAACTTCTCTTCCCCAGCAACTGAGCGGGAGAGGAGAGATTATTTTCAGGGAACCCACCTAGTCATTTTTTGTGGGACCCGGGGAGGTCGTAGAGGAGGAGGAGGTGGTCGAGAAAGAGTTCAACACCACTCTCCACCCTGGCCCCCTTCGACCCTGGGCCAGTCACCGTCACGGACGGAAAAGGGGGAGGAAACGCACGTCTGCCCAGCGAGAGACTGTTCACGTCCCGTCTGCCCAGCCAGAGACTGTTCACATCCCGTCTTCCCAGCGAGAGACTGTTCACGTCCCGTCTGCCCAGCGAGAGACTGTTCACGTCCCGTCTGCCCAGCCAGAGACTGTTCACATCCCGTCTTCCCAGCGAGAGACTGTTCACATCCCGTCTGCCCAGCGAGAGACTGTTCACGTCCCGTCTGCCCAACGAGAGACTGTTCACGTCCCGTCTGCCCAGCCAGAGACTGTTCACGTCCCGTCTGCCCAACGAGAGACTGTTCACGTCCCGTCTGCCCAGTGAGAGAGTGTTCACATCCCGTCTGCCCAGCCAGAGACTGTTCACGTCCCGTCTGCCCAGCGAGAGACTGTTCACATCCGTCTGCTCAGCCAGAGACTGTTCACGTCACATCTTCCCAGCGAGAGACTGTTCACGTCCCGTCTGCCCAGCCAGAGACTGTTCACGTCCCGTCTGCCCAGCGAGAGACTGTTCACGTCCCGTCTGCCCAGCGAGAGACTGTTCACGTCCCGTCTGCCCAGTGAGAGAGTGTTCACATCCCGTCTGCTCAGCCAGAGACTGTACACGTCACATCTTCCCAGCGAGAGACTGTTCACGTCACGTCTGCCCAGTCAGGGACTGTTCACGTTCCTTCTGTCTTCATGGACCTGGACTATCTGGAGGGTCTGGCTCGGATCCTGGACATGCCCATGTCTGCTGTTCCAGATCCGAAGCCAGTGTCTGCTGTTCCAGAGCCGGAAGCAGAGCCAGTGCCCACTCCAGAGCCGGAGGCAGAGCCAATGCCGGTTCCAGAGCCGGAGGCAGAGCCAGTGCCCGTTCCAGAGCCGGAGGCAGAGCCAGTGCCCGTTCCAGAGCCGGAGGCAGAGCCAGTGCCCGTTCCAGAGCCGGAGCTAGTTTTTGTTCCTGTGTTTGTGTCTGTTTTTGTGGCTGTTACAGTTCTTTTGTCTGTTCCCGAGCCGGTGTCTGTTCCCGAACCAGTGTCTGGTCCCGAACCGGTGTCTGGTCCCGAGAGTGCATCACCGCCCTGGCCGCCCGAGGGGTCTTCACCGCCCTGGCCACCCGATGGACTCTGTTTCGCCCTGGGCGCCCGATGGACTCTGTTTCGCCCTGGGCGCCCAGCTCACCTTTCACGCCTCCAATTTTCTCAATTCTTCCACCTATCATGCCTTTAATTTTTCCAATTCTAGCCATAATAATGTCAATTTAACACATTTTACTCCAATTGATCTTAATAAAATGACAGAGCTAATTTTAAAACTGAAACCGACTACCTCACCAGCGGATATTATGTCGACACGTCTTTTTAGAGAGGTGTTAGGTGTGATTGGCCCATCCGTTGTGACTATAATGAATAGTTCATTATGCACTGGTATTATTCCGTCCTGTTTTAAACATACCTTGATTAGGCCATTTTGAAGAAGCCCAGTCTTGATCCATCTGAGATTAATAACTTTCGACCTATCTCCACAATACCTTTTCTGTCCAAAGTGTCGGAGAAGATCGTCTTTCTCCAACTCTCTGCATTTTTAACAGACCAAGATCTTCTTGATAAATTTCAATCAGGATTAGTACTGAAACCGCCCTCCTTAAAGTGACACATGACCTTTTGCGCACTTTGGACCTAGGTAATTCCGCCATTCTAATTTTGCTCGACCTAACCGCCACCTTTGATGCAATCCATCACAGTATTCTTTTAGATCGTCTAGAGCAGGAGGTTGGGCTTAGCGGCATGGTCCTACGCTGGTTCCATTCATATCTCTCAAATAGATCTGTATCAATTAAAATTGGTAACTATTCATCACCTTCAGCACCACTAACACTGAGGCCCCCGACTGAGCCTGGGTTCTCTCAAGGTGTTTTCTCCATCCAATCTGATGGAGTTTTGGTTCCTTGCCATTGTCGCCTTGCTTTTGGCTTGCTTAGTTGGGGTTATTTAATATTTAATATTTAACAATATTATTGATCTGTGTTGTACTACTTTCATGTTATCACTGTGAAGCTGCTTTGATACAATCTGTATTGTGAAAAGCGCTATATAAATAAATGTGACTTGACTTGACTTGACTAACATGCGGGCTCCCACAAGGGTCCATACTGAGTCCTATAGGCCTACTATTTTCCTTGTATATGTTAACTTTGGGCTCCATTTTCAGGAAATATGAGATCACATATCACATGTTACGCTGATGACACTCAAATGTATGTCCCACTACATCCTCTTGATAAGTCCTGCTCTAACCTTGTGTCTTTATGAGGTAAAGTGCTGGATGGCTGAAAATGTTCTCCACTTAAAGGATGATTCCGATATTTAACACCTTGAGTCTATTTTGTAGTGTGTTTTGAATGAAATAGAGTGGTGGACTAGATTGCAGTAGTGTACTTTAGTAGTGGACTAAAGAAAGAAAGAAAGAAAGCCCTTGAATATGTCAAATTTACTATGCAATTTTAATGCATGATTATTAATTATTAATTAGTGCTAACAAAGGTGGTGTTTTAGTGTAAAGTGTACATTTTAGTGTAAACTTCTAAAGCAAACTTCTAAACTTTCAACTTTTTATTGCCTAAGCATTTCATGTTAAAACCTAACAGAAAAAAAATATCAGCAACCATAAAAGAATCCGGAGCAGAGTTCTGGTCCAGATGAGGAGAAAACAGAGCCGTGCCAATATTGGCCCGTTGTGCCAAAAGACAGAGAATTTACGACGTGTCTGGGCCAGATCTGGGCCAAATGAATTTTGCTATCTTGTAAGGACCCAACCAATCAATTCTCAGTGCGGGCGGGCTTTTATCTCCACTACTCCCGAACAGAATCAATCAGAAATGACTTTGCAAGTTACTTGCTAGGGGTGATGTTAGGAAGTGATATTCAGTTTGCTACATTTTTAATGATTACAGTAAAGCTAAACTTCAACATTTTAGCTGTAAAATTCCACATGTAGTCGCTA